CCACTTAAGAAATAATATAAATAATAATTTTAAAAATGTTGCGTATTTCTAAAAGTTAGATCACTTTTTTGAATATATTTCGTGACTGGTACACTCTTTATATATATTTAAAGTCATGCCATAATATGTGTTTACTTATCATTCTATTTACTGTGATAGAGTTCTACGTCAATTGTAACCATAGCACATCTGCTGATAACTGGCCTCACATTTCCGCTTGGTCTTTTCCAGCTAATTTATTGCCAACCTTGCTGAAAATGTAAAACAAATTTTAACTGAGCTGGCCCTTCAAGCTATTGCATCTTTGTGATGGTACCAAGGACCCATAAGGGCTCACTAGTAGCCCAAGTATTCAAGCCACATCACTTCTCTTGATTTTTGTCTACAGCAATAATTCTGCTGTGCTCTGGATACAATGACTAGTCTACTTACAGTTTAGTTCTCAAGTACTTTCACTATTTTTAACTTCACCTCGATGATTCAGACTAGCATGTTGTGACTAATTCAGGATATGATTTGTTATGGAAAAACTGTAGATGTATATACAGGTAAGGGGGCAATATGACCAGCATAATACATTTGCCACAAATTAACCAAAACACAGATGATCTAAGTATGAATTACTCAAAAATATTCACAATATCTCCAGAAACATAATATCTCTAAAATAAAATAATGATATTAAATAAAAACATACATAGTGTTAACTGTGAAACAATATCATTCAATGGTCTTCAATCAGACTGCTCACATTTGATGTGTTCTAGTCTAGAGTGCTTATTCAGTTCTCGATATTACTTCCGCGTGAAAGGAATGGGATGCAGGAAACTTGAGTATAAATCTAAATAGAATTATTTTATTAGTGTACAATATAAAATATTGTCAGAATAATGTCTGATACAATTATGAATAGTTGTTATTGTGAATGAGGCCTACATATTGGCTTAGCGTGTTAACTGATTGCTCTACTCAATCAGCGGTGCCCTTGCCTGGCATCACTTTACATTTCCTAAAACTCAATTGAAGAAGCCAGATGCTGCTGGAGAAAGGGAGATCTGGCACTGGAGAGCAACCTTTGGGGGTTTAACCATTTGAGAACCCCTTTCAGGTAACAAAGTACCAAGGAACTCTGGGCACCATATCAACTTCATTTTGATGTTGTTATAGTGCCCATGCAATTCCATTAACAGGCCTTTTTTCTGTGCTCAGTCGTAGAAAAGTTACACGTCCTTGTATATCCGAAAGTCCCACAAAATAATCCCGCCAATTTGAGGAATACAGGTGTCTCTTTACTTTCAGGTTCTGTAATGCTATCACTTCCGGTGGTGTATGTGTCCATGTCCTGCTGTCTTTATTGATGGATATCACTTTTGTATCCTCCACGGTGTTTCCCACCAACTGTATTGATTATAAGTCCACCTATATCATATTACAGACTGTATTCCCAATATGCAATATGACACACAGACCATCCTATTGGAAATGGTCCACATTACTTGTTTAAGTATTGTTTGATATCATTTAAAGGTGTACACTTTTTGGTTATTTTGTGGTTTTATTGTAGTGTATGGGGGACATGGTATTAGTTGCACCCTGATTGTACTGTACTTCACATATTTTTAAAGTGACAATACAGTTTATTCTTTTTTAAATAATAATAAATTTAAGTGTGGTGCCTTTAAGAGAACAAGCAGAAAAATATACCTGTGCCACTTACAGTACATACAAATCCTTTCCTATCTGTTTGTTACGTGACCTGGCCAAGCTCCATATCCTCTTTTTCCCAAGACAATTCTGATTCCGTATACTACCCTTCTGCATCTTTTTTATTCCCAAGGTTCACGCCCTATGGCATCATTAGTGCCAGATCTTGTCTACGCATTTTGGCATTGCAGTTGTTTCGCTAGCCCATGAGTTTTTTTTAACTGCCTATTTAAACATGCCTCTCAAATAATTAATTTCCCTCTCATGGTCTTTATTTACCCAAGAGTGTGGGTGATTTCTGGTTTTGATTCTGTTTGTACTTGGACTTCTGTTGTCCTAGACCAGACCAGCATAACTTGGCAGTATGTAGGGGAAAAAATTTAAATAGGCTAAACTTCTTCAGATGGATCTTTAGCACATCACTTTCCAAGTAAAGGTGTAATTAATAATTAAAATATTTTCAAATAAACCATACAAGTTTGAATATATTTTTCAGGTTTTCTTACCGTTAATGGGACGTATTACACTTCTTGTCAGCTTTCAGCTTATTGTAACCCGGAATCATGTTTGAAATCAATGTTTTCAAAATATCATTGGTCAGAGTTGATTGTTGCTTGCTTTTATTCAAGAATTGTTCACATATGTATGTATTCCCAAATTTGCTGAAAACCTGTAAAACAACATCTTGAAGATTTTTAAACTTTCCCTTGTCCAAACTCTTGTAGAAGTCTTAAAGGCTGGTTTCTCCGTGTTTATTTCGATGAACTGTAGAGCAATAATCTTTATCTGTAAATGCGTCAGGAGTTTCTGTAGATCCACAGAAACAGAATCTTCAATCAACTTAAATTCAATGTTGTCTCCTTTGGACAGTGTCAGTCTTCTGGCAAACTCCTGGATCAAAATGTCAATGTTGTTTGAATATTTTTCTCCTAACGTGGCATGCTTACACAATAGAATATATTTCATACACGTAGTAAAGTGGCACATTTTTCCTTTTGACAGTTGGCTTTTGAATAGTCTCTGTTTCATTTTTAAATGCCTTTACTGCTACAAGAATTTGAAAAATAAGTAGACTTTTCCTTTGAAGCTGTGAATTAATTTAGATGACCTGTGATGTCACATTAAAAATACAGATTATTATTCCAAACTCCACTGTGGAGCTCAGGGAATTTTTTTCTAATCATTCTCTAAGAATTTAACAATTTCTTCCTTGTCCACGGCTCAACCAACTAACTTCTGTGGGATAGACTACATTGTTGCAGGTGGCACCAACCTCTTCCAGAAATGCTATGCTTTAGTCCTCTTGAGCAGGGCCGGACTGGGGAAAATATTCGGCCCGGGCATTTTTTATTCACAGCGGCTCACTGTGTGTGTGAGGGTGCTGTGTATGTTAGGGTGCTGTGTGTATTAGGGTGCTGTGTGTGTGTGTGTGTTAGGATGCTGTGTGAAGGTGATGTGTGTATGTGTGTTAGGGTTCTGTGTGAGGGTGATGTGTGTGTGCGTCAGGATGCTGTGTTAGGATGCTGTGTGAGGGTGATATGTGTGTGTGTGTGTGTGTGTTAGGGTGTTGTGTGAGGGTGATGTGTGTGTGTGTCAGGATGCTGTGTTAGGATGCTGTGTGAGGGTGATGTGTGTGCGTGTGTGTTAGGGTGCTGTGTGTGTGTTAGGGTGCTGTGTGTGTTTGTAAGGATTGTGTGTTGGGGGAGGCAGGTAAATGCCAATACTGATGTATTTATTTTCATAATAAAAATTAAAAACCAACAGGCATTATACCCCCCCCCCTTCTTACCTATAGCATGGAAGGGGGGGGGGGTCGTGCTGCTGACATCCATCCCTGGTGGTCCTCGTGGTAAGTAAACTCTAGCCTGTGGGGCTAGAGTTCACTCTCGCGAGACCCGGACCGTTACCATGGCAACGGTCTGGATCTCGTGAGAGAAACCAAGCAGAGCTGCAAGCTAGAGCTCCGCCGGGTCCTCCTCTCCTGGCTGGCTGTCTTGATGCCTTTCTCCCCAGCCGGTGGCTGTGTTTGACTGCATGTGGGCCGGTGAGGGAGATCTTTGATCTCCCCACCGGCCCTTCATGGAACACAGTGGGGCCGTCACTTAGCGCCGGTTCTGCATGGCCCGACTGGATCTCCGAACACCAACGTCGGCCCGTGGCCATCACGGCCCAACGGGCATTTGCCCGGTTTGCCCGATGGCCAGTCCGGGCCTGCTCTTGAGTGAATATAGCTTGCAATTGAAGCTGCCACTAGCATTGCATGGTTGAAATTCAAAACTTTGCTGCATAACACTTGCTGATGTACAATGCAATGATACTTATTTGCCAGCGAAATCTTCAACAAGAGTTACCGCACCAAGGTTTTTCCTGCACATAGATGAAGCGCATCAGTGCGAATGGCCACTAAATTTTAAAACGTTATGCCTAATTTTTCAGTTACACACTTGTTCAGTTGTTTTTCGATTTATTTTCCAGTAGTTTGACCTTGCATGGAGCAAAAACCAGCCAGCTCCTCTGTTACTTCAAAGTTGTCATCAATACCTCGAACGAAAATTAGAATTTCTTTAGCCTTTTGATCTAACTGATCTTTAAGGTTACTCTTCGCTGCATGGCCATACGGAACAAACTTAATTCTCAAAAACACTTAATTTTTTTTTTTTTTTATCGGGACATAATCCATAAACTGCAATCAGAAAACACTTCTTTACGAAGTCACCTTCAGTAAAAGACTTCCCAGCAGCAGCAATTTCTTTACGAATCTGAAAAGATTATGATCCTTAGAATACAATTACTTCTCAGCAAACAAAGCACAATATTTTGTCTCTAGTGTAAGTTAACAAGTATCTATTTGTCCACTCCGGATTAAATGTTCTAATTCGATCTTCTGATTTTTCTTTATCACCCATTTTACAAAGTCACCCCAAAACTTTAATGTTAAGAACCATAAAATCTCACTTTGTCCCTGTCGCTGCTGCACTCACTTTGGTTTGTCCCTGCTGTAGAATCACACACAGTGCCAGTAGTGACTCTTGCAAGAGGACTATATGTCTGGCGCAGCGGTCATCTTGGACACACCACACGGTGCTTGGGGTTCCATAGTTGTGATAGTGATAGTGAAAGAGGTTATGATAATGCAATTACATTTTCTAGGCACTAATATTAAATGAATTCTAACTGTACTAACTGATACGTAGCTTAAAAAAGGTACCACTGGTTATTAAACAGGGTTAGAAGCAACAGAAGGCATATGACTGTGTTCACAATTATAGGCTCGGCCATGAAACCAGACGGTGATCTCAGCTGGAGCAATTAAGTGACCAGGCTTGTTCATCCGACGCCTCTCGTGGGCCACAATATAGTGTCCAGCACCTCTGTGATTCCAGGCTCCTCTGCATCTCTGGATAGGTCATGCTGTGCTTCCTGCCATCCGATGTACAGTGAGCTGCACTGCCTCCGATCTTGGCCTCCTTGGCTCCAAGCTCTAAAAGGAGCTGATGCCTTGAGTCCACAAGACCTCCAGGTCTCAGAAGCAAGGTCATGAGTCTGCAGGTTCCCAAAGTGCCCTTGAGAATTTGGACATCGGTGTGAGTAAGGTGCAGTGCAGACTTCCGGCTCCGATGAAGGGCAGGTAGGTAACTCTGCTTTAAGGTCCATCTGAGCACCTGGTGGGTCAGGTGTGGTTTGACGACTTTCTTGCAAGAGGACAGTATGTCTGGCGCGGCGGCCATCTTGGACACACCACACGGTGCTTGGGGTTCCATACTTGTGGGCCTCAGTCGTGGGACTGTGTAACCCAGTGGGGACTGGGATATCCCCCACCAGCCTGGGGGGGAGGGGGTAACAGGGCTGCAGATCCTGAGCTGTGAGATGGACACTTGGTGCTCTAAACTCAGTAAACCTTAAGACTGGGTACACATCACCTTCAGCGGGATGCTTCAAATCAGACACCTTTGGGTCGGAATGCAGTGCAATGCTAGTGCCGGTAAAATAAGGTGTCAGTTGTCATTGTTTTTCAGGCAAATGCTTGTTTTTATTGCCGGTCAAGGAGAGCTACAAGAAAGTGCGTCCATCCCCCCCCACCCCCCAAAACAACAAGTCTTTATTAAAGCAATCACCAAAGGGGACTTGGCAACAATTTGATAAATGATTTTACCTGTGATACATAACGTGTACCGTGTCCTAGGCTTGAGAAAGACCCAAAACTGTTGAAACATTGCTAGGTCACCTTAGATGGTGAACCTTACAAAGGACTTCAGAAATGTTTAATTGCTGTGTGGTCCTGTCAGGTGTATAATAATAGCTGAAAAGTAGTTTGGCTGGGTGCACATATATTGTTACGTATATTTAATTGTTAAATATGATATCTTGTATATAGCATATTCAATGTTTCCTTTATATCCCATGCATTTTTGTGTTGGCTCACAGTGAAGATTCAACATGGGCTAATCACATTCAAATGTAGAACATGATAACCAATATTCTTCAAATCACACTGGTCCAGTATGCTCCCTGTCTATGAATGCCTTCAGACAATCCTATTCCCTGTTATATGGCGCAGGAGTTTTCATCCAGGGTCCTCGTACTATTTATCTAAAACTTGTATCTTCCTCCACAGGAGTTCTAACAGCAGAATTGTGGCCAAAAAGCTGGAGGGCCAAAGGTGAACAGACACACATACGCAGACAGATACAGATATAATGCTTCTGTGTAGATTACTGTACATCTTAAGGGCACAGCTAATACAGAGTTAACGTGCATCAATTTTTAACAAGAGGACAATAAACTGAGAGCTGTGTCTGATGAACATCATCTTTTCACAGTTGCAAACAAGGCCAGCCGGCATTCAGGATGTCACACTGTTTGCTTTCTCCCTGAGTCATCATTAAGATGCTTATTTTTCCATTCCATTGTGGATAGTTCATACGATAGGGAAATTAGAGAGGCGAGAATATGAAATCTGAGCAGATTTGTACATGTTTGCCGTACTCTCTCCACGCACTTATCCAAAAGGTTTTTTTTTTTCTTCTAATCCCATAGAAACAAAGAACCCAGCAGTAGATAAGAGAATGTTTTGTACACCTTTCTACCTGATGGGAAAAATGTATGTCAGTGTTCACATTAAGTAAACTATTCCTAATGTCAGTCTTGGTGTCTTTGTGTGTGGGTGACCTTAGGTCAGTAATCTTTTATAAGAAGGAAGTTGTTTGTCAGTCATATGGCTCTATTTATTATTAAGAGTGTTTCAAATAACCAGTTATTTGTCAAAATCTCTTTGCAAATATAATGTACCAAGTTGCCCCACTGTAACAGCACGCTCCAGGGTGGAGTGTCCCCACATGGCTGATTCACATCTTGGGGGTGTTGCTCTCGTCTTTTCCCTCTAGTCCTGGACTCCCATTCGCTGTATTACAGTGAGGGGAAAAAAAGTATTTGACCCCCTGCTGATTTTGAATATTTGCCTACTGACAAAGAAATGATCAGTCTATAATTTTAATTGTAGGTGTATTTTAACAGCGAGAGACAGAATAACAAAAAAACAAACAAAAAAAAATCCAGAAAAACACGTCAAAAAAGTTATAAATTGATTTGCATGTCAATGTGTGAAATAAGTATTTGACCCTTTCGACTTAGTACTTGGTGGCAAAACCCTTGTTGGCAATCACAGAGGTCAGACGTTTCTTGTAGTTGGCCACCAGGCTTGAACACATCTCAGGAGGGATTTGTCCCACTCCTCTTTGCAGATCCTCTCCAAGTAAGTAAGGTTTTGAGGTTGACGTTTGGCAACTCGGACCTTCAGCTCCCTCCACAGATTTTTTTATTGGATTAAGGTCTGGAGACTGGCTTGGCCACTCCAGTACCTTAATGTGCTTCTTCTTGAGCCACTCCTTTGTTGCTTTGGCTGTGTGTTTTGGGTCATTGTCAGGCTGGAATACCTATCCACGACCCATTTTCAATGCCCTGGCTGAGGGAAGGAGGTTCTCACCCAGTTGTCCTGTCCCCTTAGCAGAAAAACACTCCCAAAGCATAATGATTCCACCTCCATGTTTGACGGTGGGGATAGAAACATAGAATGTGACACAGATAGGAACCATTTGGCCTATCTAGCCTGCACAATTTTCTAAATACTTTTAGTAGTCCCTGGCCTTATCTTATAGCTAGGATAGCCTTATGCCTATCCCATGCATGCTTAAACTCCTTTACTGTGTTAACCTCTACCACCTTAGCTGGAAGGCTATTCCATGCGTCCACTACCCTTTCAGTAAAGTAATACTTCCTGATATTATTTTTAAACCTTTGCCCCTCTAATTTAAGACTATGTCCTCTTGTTGTGGTAGTTTTTCTTCATTTATATATAGTCTCCTCCTTTACCGTGTTTATTCCTTCTATGTATTTAAATGTTTCTATCATATCCCTCCTGTCTCGTCTTTGCTCCAAGCTATACATGTTAAGATCATTTAACCTTTCCTTTCAAGTTTTAGCCTGCAATCAATGAACCAGTTTAGTAGCCCTTCTCTGAACTCTCTCTAAAGTATCAATATCCTTCTGGAGATATGTTCTCCATTACTGCGTACAATACTCCAAGTGAGGTCTCACCAGTGTTCTGTACAATGGCATGAGCACTTCCATCTTTCTACCGCTAATACCTCTCCCTATCCAACTAAGCATTCTGCTAGCATTTCCTACTGTTCTATTACATTGTCTGCCTACCTTTAAGTCCTCAAAAATAATCACCCCTAAATACTTTTCCTCAGATGTTAAGGGTAGGACTGTATCAAATATTCTGTACTCTGCCGTTGGGTTTTTATGTCCCAGATGCATTATCTTGCACTTATCCACATTAAATGTCAGTTGCCACAACTCTGACCATTTTTCTAGTTTAGCTAAATCATTTTTGGGATGGTGTTCTTGGGGTCATAGGCAGCATTCCTCTTCCTCCAAACATGGCTAGTTGAGTTGATGCCAAAGAGCTAGATTTTTTTTGTTATTCTGTCTCTCACTGTTAAAATACACCTACCATTAAAATTATAGACTGATAATTTCTTTGTCAGTGTGCAAACGTTCAAAATCAGCAGCAGATCAAATACTTTTTCCCCTCACTGTAACTGGTGCTGGTCACTGTAAAATGGGGCCAAGATAGAGCCCAACCTGCCTACAGCCTATTAGTAATGCCAACGTGCGTGCGTTATCACGCAGATATTATGGCATCACATGATGGTACATAGCTAATGAAGGCCCTCCTAAGGCTATATATTTTGACATTAGTGCAGTGCCCTGTCATGGTTTCCCTTGTGGTTATCCGAGAGCACATTTTATTTATTGATTCTGTGTATTTTGACACAGGCTTGTACCTTGAATATTCTACCTTTTACAGTCTTCATTTTGTCGATTAACAATTTTTGTTCTATTTAAGTCAACTAAAATTTTTGAGACTTAGTCGACTAAAACTAGACTAATACTAAAACAATTCAGATGACTAAAATATGACTAAAACTAAAATGGCTTTTTAGTTAAGACTATGACTAAAACTATATTGTAATTTGCTGCCAAAATTAACACGGGCAGGTAAGACACATGGGGGACTGGGGGATGTAGGCACTGATTACTAAAATCCAACTAAAACTAAAACAGCTTTTTAGTCAAAAGACTATGACTAAAACTAAGTTGAAATTTGCCGCCAAAATTAAAACTGAATGGAGGTTGTCCAGTTGCAGTTACTTTTTTAACTATAGGCTATAGTAAACATAATATTAAAAATCCAGGGAAGTGGCAGTTATTCTTTAACTGTGCCAAATTTAGGTTCAAAGTGTGTATTTTTTGTACATGTATTTCCCTGTGTAAGTTCATGAACCCTTTAGAATTATGTGTCTTCTGTATTACTTTAATATAAAATGTGTCTGATAATTCCTATTAACTCCATGGCAGTTGCCTTTTAAGTATGGAACATTCAAGGTATACATATGGCAGGCTGTCTACAAATGCTCAGCATATTTATAAATTCACAGATACTGTAGTTGAAAATGTCCGGAGAATTAAACACAGTGGGTTCTTTTCAAATTTCATTAAAAATTAAAATTTTTCAATTTAGATTTCATATTTTAAGAGGAACACTATAGCTTAAAGGACCACTATAGGCACCCAGACCACTTCAGCTTAATGAAGTGGTCTGGGTGCCAGGTCCAGCTAGGGTTAACCCTTTTTTTCCCTAAACATAGCAGTTTTAGAGAAACTGCTATGTTTATGTTAGGGTTAATGCAGCCTCTAGTGGCTGTCTCTTGACAGCCGCTAGAGGCGCTTGCGTGCTTCTCACTGTAAAAAAAATCACAGTGAGAAGACGCCAGCATCCATAGGAAAGCATTGTAAATGCTTTCCTATGAGACTGGCTGAATGCGCGCGCAGCTCCTGCCGCACATTCGCATTCAGCCGAAGAAGAGGAGGCGGAGAGGAGGAGGAGAACTCCCCGCCCGGTGCTGGAGAAAGAGGTACGTTTAACCCCTTCCTTCCCCCTTAGCACCACGGGAGTGGGACTCTGAGGGTGGGGGTACCCTCAGGGCACTATAGTGCCAGGAAAATGAGTATGCTTTCCTGGCACTATAGTCGTCCTTTAACAACTAGCTTAAAGGGACTCTCCAGTACCAGAAAAACAAACCCGTTTTTCTGACACTGCAGGATCCTGCAGTGCCCCTCTCCCTTCCGCCCCATCCCATGCTGCTAAAGGGGTTAAAATCCCTTCAGCTTCTTACCTGAACCCAGCGCCGATGTC